GTGTGTGTGTGTGTGTGTGTGTGTGTGTGTGTGTGTGTGTGTGTGTGCACGCGACCTCCTCGCCCCTCTACGGCTGTCATAAGGAATCAACAGTGGTTCTTCCAGAGGAAATGTAGGTCATAATATACACACAGACACACACTGGAAGCAGCACAAAGACAACTGCTGCACTCATACCATGTGAGAACAAAGGCTGGGCCAACTTGCTGGTAGAAATTAGTGTCAAATTAATGTCACAACGCTATGATTCAAGCTCCGTCAGCTTTTTCACACTTGCCACTTCATAACCGAGTGAAATGCCTATGCATCATCAAACCCTGTCTTTAAACAGGAAACCTGTAGCTACCTTGCTTTCACACTTGATGTTATTAGGCCTATAACTGATTCTTCTCTTCGATCTCAAGGCCCAGGTCGAAGCACAAAAGGCCACTCAGGAGTTCCAGCGGGCGGTTGAGATCCTGCGGGCGGCTAAGGAGACCATCGCCCTGGCCGAAGAGAGGCTGCTGGAGGAGGACAGCCGCCAGTTTGACTCTGCCTGGCAGGAAATGCTCAACCATGCCACACAGAGGGTATGAAACATGATGCAAGACAGCTGCAAAATACGGAAAAAGTTCCAAGCTTACAAGTTTGTGCATGAGGGTTGAGGTTTGAAGCTGCTGATTGTGAAAGTGAAACTATGACAATACTGAAATGTCCCATTTTTTGCTTGGTTTCTACAATTAATAAAAAAAACACTCGATTGTTTCAGGTAATGGACGCAGAGCTGGAGAGAACGCACAGTGAGGCCGAACACAAGAAAACTGCAGCCAATTACAACTCCTGCATCAGCCACATGAGGCAGTTGGAGAAGAAACTCAAACGCTCCATCAACAAATCCAGGTCTGTGCCGTTGTCTCCGCTCTGAATGGTTCCTTTTCTTTTCCCCCCTGCTTGGGCCTCGCTGTGTGTGTGAAAGCAGGGCTAATTTGATGTCATCTGATGCAGGCCAGATGTTTCATTTGTTGGTTGTGCTGTGTTGGGGTGTGCTCCCTTTGTAAGAGCCAAGGAATGTGACTGCTCACAGAGGAGTGTTATTCTTCCAGTAGTTTCTCCAGTGACAGTCTGCACGGTTTCTCCCTCTTTCTCAGTTTTTCTTCTTTTTTCTCCCCCTGTAGGCCGTATTTTGAACTGAAAGCCAAGTATTATCTACAGCTTGAGGTATGTATGTTTGCATGCTTTTAAACAATTTAAAATGTGAGCATAAACAGTTGAAATTACTGGAGTTGTAATAACTTTCCATCAAGCTCCACCATTGTTCAAAGTTTTAAAATGTCAAATACTTTGGTTTATGACCAAATACCATCAAAACTAATGAAGGCTGTACTTTAGTCTTAATGAGCAAATGTTAGCATGCTAACATACCAACATGCTAAACTGAGAAGGTGAACATTGTAAACATACAAAAGATGCTCTGTAACAAAGAAAGCATGAGAAGCTCCGCCAATGTTATATATATATATATAAAGAAATTTTGTTAGTTCATTGACATTTCAGTGTCAGACTGTTGTGTGACTTATGAAAAATGGGCCCAATATATATATTTTGACTATGGAGCAAAAGAATGAAGTCAATCTGTGTTCAGGTTCACTTCTCCTATTGAAGTTAATTGACTCAGGACTTGCCCTAAAGGGGCGGGGCAGTGGTGAAACCACCCTGATACAAACCGGTGTTCCACTATTCCATAGTACAGCCTCACAGGGCTACATGACTGTAGACTCTTAGTCGTGTTCACTTCGGAAGGAAAGCACTACCCCTAAATGTGTAAATGTCATGCTCACTAAGCTTAGGACACACTGTCAAAATGTAAAAATTTACATGTGAACAGTTTTACCAAGACGGTGCATTCACTAAAAAACTGTTTCAATCCTTGTAGCAACTCAAGCGCCTTGTGGATGAGCGTCAGGCCAAAGTTGTGGTTGCCAAGACCGACTACCGCACAGCATTACGCAACCTGGAGAGCATCTCTGAAGAGATCCATGCCCAGCGACGCTCCCTCGCCATGGGCACCAGGGAACAGGGTGTCGGAGCGGAGGGAGATGGGCCCGACGAGGACATCACCAACTTCAAAATGGAGTCAGACGGTCTGTCAAGTGAGTACAACTATATGCAACCACATTATTCATCAACATTTCGTTTTTGTTTTGTTGGTGCATCCGTGTGTGTGTGTTTCAGTGGTGTCCGTATCAATCGATGAAGAGGGCAGTCACAGTAGCAGCTCAGAGGAGGACACAGATACTCACTCCACCTCCTCCCGAGACACTCACTCCACCTCCTCTCGTGACATGCCCTCCCCCTCCTCCTCCTCCCAGCCCTCCACCTCTGCCTCCACCCCCCTGGACATGCCCTGCTCTCAGCCCTTCTCACCCTACACCCCCTGCTCATGCCTCTCCTCCTCTCCCCCCGTCCCCTCTTCCTCCTGTCCTGGCGAACAAGAGTTAGCGAGCCCCTGTAGCCCTCATGACCCAGAGTCGGTGTGGGGTTCTCGGCATGCCTCGCCTCTCCTGGGCCCTCGCAGCCAGTGCAGTGGAGCTTCTTCTCCAGACTGCGACCAGGAGAGAGGTGTGTGTTCATCACATCAGTGTGTACATGTGTGTTGACTTCTGATGTGATGCTTCATCCTTTATGTTAAAAGTTGTCGCTTTAAAAGCTTTTAAAAAAAAAAAAAAAAAAAAAAAAAGTTCAACCTTTAGTTTTGTGATGCTTTTTAAAAAGTTTGACTAGAAGATCAGTACCAATTTCATGTTTCAAGTGCGTTAAGGAGAGAGCTGGAGTAAAACATTTTTTATTGTGCGAAAAACAGCATCCTGTTCACCATGCTAGAGGCGGATTGCATTTACTGGAAAGAGTTAGGCTTCAGTAAAGTTCTGTTTCAGTCAGCAAAGGTAAATTGGTATATCATTGGTTTACTTTAACATGCACATTTATTCACAGTTGCATGCCCTCCTTTTCTGTGTGTTGCAGGTGACAGAGCAGAGGGAGCGGAGGCAGCGCTAGAAGCTGGTTTGAACAAGCTAACCTTAACTGTAGCTCCAAAACGAGAAGGGGACTCCGGGGATGAACAAGATCCCCATGTCATTAACCCCGAAATATCCTCTCCCAGCTCAGCCACTACCATTCTGTTACTCAACAGTGTCTAATAAAACTTCTGTCTGGGCTCTGTGGCAGAGGACTTGGAGCAGGGCAGGAGGATATGCTAAATCCAAGCGATGAGAGAGCAACCTACATATCCCAAAGCTCAAACCAACCTGACATTGCGTCTCCATATTGTCTTAACATCCGATGGTGTCATATTAGAAGGTGTTATAAGTAGTGTATTTGAACATCAGTACATCATTTTCAAGTAAATTGTGAACCTGTGGTGTAAACAAATAAGAGCAGGGACGGGAGGATTGGTGTGTGTTGGTGTCATTAGTGCTGGCATTATTCAAAAGATTGCATTTGTCATGAACTCCTTTCTGTTGCAAAGAGGGTGTTTGTTGCCATTGAACCGACTTCACCAGCTCCGTCTATTTTGTGCCGCAAAATAATTTGCGTTGTACAGCAGTATGGGGAATTGTCTTGGCATATTGTAGAGACTGTCAAACTTCTCAATGTGTAACCAGCTTTAAAGTAATGTGTCAAAATGAATGTCATAATACATGTATTGATGTAAACATACTATCGTTGGCACCACTAGGAGAAGTCAACAGTGAGCCTCTTTTTGGATCTGTATCTAAACATGGAGGATCAAAATGGGACAAAACAAGATGTCGAATGTTGGATCATTTCTTGTTCTGCCTTGATTATTGAGCTCCTCAATGTGAAGTTGAAATGTAGGATGCAGAGACTGTTTCGGGGGAGTAATTATCAAGGAGGAACGAGGAGTGCATGCAGTACTCCGAGCACTAAACACCAGAAGAGACTCTCTTCAGGCGGGACTAACAAGTGGTCTTCCATTTGGATTTGTGAATGAGTGAGTGAATGTTTTGAGTGCAGATCACCATCTGATGTGGTGGTGATTGAGCACATTTGTGTGCGTGTGTCTGTTGTGTTTTTGGGAAATGCTCAAATACTACCTGTAGTACAGATATTCTATATTTATACTCCTGTATTCTTGTATATGAACAGTGGTTTGTGGTTACTATTGCTATTGTTTAACACAAAATAAGCAATAAATATGTGCTACATTTATCAGATTATTTTTATATCAGTTTTCAACAATGTTTGTTAGCACTTAAGGTTATAAATATAATTATTGATCAAAGCCTTTTGAAATAGGCAGAATTATACTTTTAAACAAGATAATATGGTATTAAACAACTATCAGGGAAGATATGACATTGCATTGAACAATTAAAGTGACTGTCCAGCTGACTTTGAATGGAAGTCCACGATGTAGGTCGGCAATCTGAAAAATATGAGGCGCTCTGATTGTAAGTTAAAAACATGTTTTCATTTATAAATGAATGAGTCAACATGCGTTAGTTATCCAAACAGTCTTCATCAAGGTAAAAAGTGCAGTGAGGACTGTGTTCAAATTAAACTTTTGCTGGTCTCAGCATACAAAGAGTCCAGCGAATAAGCATCTTTCCCACAACTCCTTAATTTTCAACTAACAGATTTGCCCAGCAACACCTTGTTAGCAGTGACAGTTAGCAGCAACACTGAGCAATTTTTCTTAATCAGAATTACTGCAGTAACAGGAATTAGAAGCCTATACCTTTGAAAACAAAATCAAATATGCATTAGAAAGAGGTGGGTTAAAAGTCTGAAACTGATTTGTCACATTTACACCTTACTCATGATATAGTAGAGGTGAGAGAAGTTGTTAGGACCCTAAGAGAGGCTCTTCACAAAAGAGGTCCAAAATAATCAAAAGAGTCAAGGAGTTGCAGGAAATAACATTCAATTTATTGATGAACAAGATAAATGACAATAAAAAAACACAAACAAAGTCAACCTAACCCAAACTTACCAACAAAAGACTGATGGGCCGGCCAAAATAAACAAAAAGGAAAGACACCCAGACCAACCCACAATGGGCCGTAGGATCTGGACTCTAACCCTCACCTTCAACATTCACCTAAACCTAACAGAAATAAAGCCGCGAAAACAGGACTACCGAACCCATCAAAATCACAAACTAATAAAACCCCAAAGATTTAGCATGTAACGGGTACAGTTTCAAAGTTTGATATGTAAAACTATTTGTCTTGCAGCAATTTTGCAAACAAGTTTACTTTCTTATGCTCTGCTAGCTGCTCATCTGTTGCAGGGTCCTTTCTTGGAAGCATGCTACCTTTCAATTAAGCAGCATCCTGTGTTTTCAATTATCTGTCCAAGAGTAGCTCTGTTCTCAGAATTTTAAAATTGGGCAATAATATGATCCTGTTCTGTAGGATACTGACATCTAGTGCCAGGTTGTTTTTTGCACCGTCACAACCCGGCTCAAACCAGTAAAACCAGGAACAGCAAACGCTGCAAGCTTAGGACCAACAGAATCCAACTCAAACCCGACACCAACGAACAGCGTTCCAATAACTCCTCCACAGAATCCAAACAGAAGAAACAACAGCAAGAGCAGCCCATACACAGCTAACATCACTGCAGCCCGCCCCTCTGACTGCCTATCCAGAGACTAAGTAAGCTCCCCCCTAGTCTTCAGGTGCTACTTGTGGTGGGTACTTACGCACTAAAACCCGCAGGCTCGGTAAAGCAACCAGGAACTGGCCGCCCACCTGCAGCCTCGGACGTGCCCCCGAGACAACTGCTCTAACCACTTTCACACCACACTACAGAACCCCCCCCCAACGAACTCCAAAGGGAGTCCGCTCTTCAGCCTAACAGGGACAGAACAGCAGCAATTTACTCACCGTGTATACAGGACCACCCAAACTCTGTTCCGCAAAAATCACCAGCATAACACATGCTCAGTGACACAAACACTCCTCAGGAACACTGATCACTACAGCTGCTCACAATAACCAAACACAGGAAAACAGCCGACTCACCACACTCGTCCATGTCTCCCAAACAACCAGATTGCACATCTCACTCAGTTAAACGAGGTGCACCTGCCCACCAGGCCACCACTGACCCAGAATCAGTCTCCGCTCATCAAGCCAATTAGCCAGCAGAGCCAACTTCTCTCCACAAATCTTGTGTTACCTGGTTCATCAAGTTTGGATGAGCCCCCATGTCACGACCCGGCTCAACAAATCGTAACATGAGGGAGACAAGACGAGTATAAAAGTAATAAAGACATTTATTGAAAGTACCACTAACTAAACCCAACTAAATAAACAATCAAAACAAAGCAGCATCCAGGTCCTCCAAACAGGAAGCCGAGAGGAGAGACTGCCAAAGAAGAGGGGCAGCCTTTATAGCTGGGACCAACCCAAAGCTCAGGTGTCGCCCATCAGTGGCCGATTAACATCCTGGAAGACAACTGAGGAGAAAACAGGACACAGACCCCTGGTGGAAGGGAGGGGTCGTCACAGCACTCCAATCATGGCTTTTAGCTGGAGCTTCGTATTTAATGCATTACTAATTTAAGTTTAAAATGCTATGATGTGATGGTTGATCCTTTATGAATGATGTTGCTTTCAGGAAGACCCCATAACCTACTGGCCTGTAGGCAAACCCTTTGATTTACCATCTAACATTGCAAGTCCTGAAATCACAAATTTGTCTTTGTTTATTCAACATACGACTCCTAAACTCCAACATTTGGAATGAGGAAAAACACCACAAAACCCATTAACAGGAAAAATGTAGGGAAAGCTCAACAGAGCGAGATGTCGCAAGATGGCAGCATGGTCATCATGGTTCTGGAAAAGATTGAGGGACAGACGGACAGTTTCAGTGCTCATGTTTTCATGGCTATTGGTCCAAAAACAAGAGGTTAGCCTGGAGCAATGATTATGCAGTTGTTTCCATTTATACTTCACTTTGACTCATCATAAAAATAGCTGAAAATCTGTTACTCATTAATTAATCTGTTTTCTTAATGACTTGATTTGCTAAGAATAAGTTTAAAAAAAATTATAAAACCAAACTTCTCTTAAAAAAAAAAAAAGCAAAAAAAAAAAGCACTATTTTGCAGTAGATTGTCAAGTGCGAGTATTGTAGCTGTACACTTGACGTTTCTACACAAACTTACAAGCTTTGCTTCATAATCGAAAATCATCTTACCTCACAGATGTGAATTGAAAGCGACCTTTGACCTCCATCATTCCATCCTCGAGTCCAAGTAGACGTTTGTGCCAAGTTTGGAGAAATCTCTTTAAGGCATTTCGGAGATATTGTCTTCACGATAATGGAACGGACAGACAACCCAAAAACACAATGCCGCCAGCCACAGCTACCGAGGAGGCATAAATAAATATAACTAATCCGATTCTCTCTCCTAACTTAAACGTTTGAGTTCATTCAAATCTGGTGATAACCAAACATTTTAAGAAAATACAGAAAACTAACCTTAATCTCTAAAGAAAGTACAATTTTGGGAAAAAAAAAAAGTTATGTCGCAAATACGCAACCAAGTAGAGATTGTCAAGTGTGAACATGAAGCATCACACTTAAGGTGTCTAAACTTACAGGCTTTGCCTCATAATTAAAAGTCATAACTTTGTTACAAACCAGTTTCATTAAAATAGAGTACAACCCCAAAAGAAAATGTAGTAACTAAAATCAACCAACCTGATCCTATAAATAAAGTACTATTTTGACAAAAGGTCGTTACAAAGATGCAACCGAGAGGAATTGTCAAGTGCAAGTATTGTAGCAGCACACTTGAGTTTCTACCTAAACTTACAGGCTTTGCTTCATAATTAATAATCATCTTACCTTACAGATGTGAATTCAAAGTGACCTTTGACCTCCACAATATAAATCAGTCCCTCCTCAAATCCAAGTAGACGTTTGTGCAAAGTTTGAAGAAATTCCCTCATGGCACTCCTGAATCAGTGTTTACGAAAATGGAGCGGACGTCGGTACGGACGGACAGAACCGAAAAACATAATACCGACAGCCACTGCTGTCGCCGACGTAGAGGCATAAAAAAACTGAATGAAACCAATTTTATTCTCTCTCTATTAAAATCATTTTTAAAAATACAGAAAACCAACCTTAATGTCTAAAGAAAGTACTATTCTGAAAAAGGTTATGTTGCAAAAACTCAATAAAGTAGATTATCAAGTGTGAGTATTGAAGCAGCACATTTGACGTTTCTACACAAACTTACTGTCTTTGCTTCATAATAGAAAATCATCTTACCTCACAGACATGAATCCAAAGGGACCTTTGACCTCCATCAGTCCATACTTGAGTCCAAGTAGACGTTTTATGCCAAGTTTGAAGAAATTCCCTCAAGGCATTTCTGAGATATTGTCTTCACAAAAATGGAATGGACGATGGTACGGACAGACATACAACCCCAAAACATAATGCCGCCAGCCACTGCTATTGAGGGATAAAAAAAAAACATAAAACTAATCCGATTCTGTCTCCTAACTTATACGTTTAAGTTCATTAAAATCAAACATATAACCAAACATATTTAAAAATACAGAAAACTAACCTTAATCTCTAAATATAGTACTATTTTGGAAAAAAAGTTATGTTGCAAATATGCAACTAAGTAGAGATTTTCAAGCGAGTACTGAAGCAGCACATTTGACGTTTCTACACAAACTTACAAGCTTTGCTTCAGAGTAGAAAATCATCTTACCTCAGACGTGAATTCAAAGTGACCTTTGACCTCCAAAATCTAAATCAGTCCCTCCTCGAGTCCAAGTAGACGTTTGTGCAAAGTTTGAAGAAATTGCCTCCAGGCTTTCCTGAGAAATCCCATTCACAAGAGTGTGACGGAAGTCCGTACAGACATCCAGAAAACATAATACTTCCAGCCAAAAATAAAATATAACCAACCTTATTCTATTAAAGTAGTACTATTTTAAAAAACAATGTATGTTGCAAATATGCTGCAGTGAGAAGGGATTGTCAAGTGTGACTATTATAGCAGCACATTGGAGGAGTCTACCCAAATTTACAGGCTTTGCTCCAATAACCTCATCACACATTAAACATAAGAATTAAATGTTTGCAAAATAGGTTATTAATTAAGATTCGTCTATTCATATCTGGTGACAATAAAGCAAACACATAAAAAAAAAAAAATACAAAATAAA